TAACGCCATACACCATAGCGGGCAGGTTGAGGTCCCAGTCATTACGGCTGCCATTCACATATTTTCTGAGAGTACGCTTGATGTCTTGGTTGGTTAATTCATCCTGTACATTTCAATCCATTTGTGAATTTGATAAATAAACACAAGTGATTCAACAATAATACATCTGAGAGGACTGGAGGTTACCTGCCCATTGGGCTGTGGATGATAGACGCTGGACACTGCATTTTTGATTTTCAGCCTGCTGAATATGCTGTCATTGAGCTGTGGATGAATGATCAACAGTTATATTTACATTATTGTGGAGTAGTTTCATGGCATATTTCCACTGGCATGCAGGAACTGAGCCGTACCCGAGCCATACTGCCAAGAGAATCTATATACAGCACTGTTCCAGTTCGCTTTGGTTTTCCACTGCAGAAGGGTTGGCTCACTGAAGGAGATGCTGGGTTTGGAATGCAGCAGTGACGTGAAACCAAAGAGACGCTTATTTACTGTTCACAAGGTATACGCAATTTTCTGTATGCTAATTACTGCTTCCATATCTGTAAGAACTGCCATCTTATGTTAGCATCAAACACTAGTGGAATTAGCATTCACTTGCGGAAATTTGCATCACAAATCCATACTGTTCAAATGTTCTATAGTACTTTTTTAAATAGGTTGTTGGAAAAGTTCTGAGTTATCAGGAATGCAACACAATACTAATAATGAGTGATATATAGAATATGCCCCTTTTTCCTTCAGATCATCCATGCATATCAACACAGATCAACTGCATCTACCTGCATTTTGACCTATCGGGTGTTGATGACAAAACCAGTTCAGTCTGGTCATGCTTTCGGCCCTGCTAGTAAGGGGGGCCTTGTCAGCACGGGTACAGCTTGGGTACGGCTCTGATAATATACAATGGAAAACCGTCAGTTCCCAGTACGGTTTGGCTCGTGGTGTGAAGGGAAATTCTCCAAAAGAAAAAAACATATATTAGAAGCAGAAGTTGGGGAAAAAAAGATACAAAAAAAATAATAATAATAGTTTCACAAAAAGTTTACCTCCTTGATGAATTCCTTAGCTTGATCTGTAATGATGTGCCTGACCATGCCAAACATGTACAACTTTGTGGTAATTGCCAAAGACACCTCATTCACAGTTTTAGATTGCAGAGGGTCTGCAATGACCCACTTTGTGTACATGTCTGTCATGGTTAACACAAATTTGTTGTGCCGCACTGTTTCAGGTAGTGGTCCAATTAAATCCAAACCAAGCACATCCCAAGCTTCTTTTACCTGTAGACAAACTTATCATCATTTGTCATCATAATACTGATAATCACAACACTCTTCATTGTGCAAAAAATGTTGCAAGAAGTACCTTAATTGTATGTAAAAACGGAGGAACAGTCTTGATGGGATCATTCAGCTGGCAGCGGTGACAATCTTTGACCTAAAAGAAAAGATTGCATGTCTTGCTTAACTAAACGTCAGTTGAATATTCTGAAGTTGATGATGACCATAGAAACAATTTCTAAATGAAGCAGCTAAATAATACAATGCAAAATATCACCTACGTGGAATTTTCTACTTAACACAAATTAGAAAACTGTGTGGTCATCTCAGTATCTCATCTTTGGCGTCCAGTATCATATTTAAGTATATTACCCAATCCTTCACGTCTTGAATCAGTGTAGACCAGTAGTAGCGGGCAATGACCCTGTCTCTGGTGCTCCTCACGCCGTTGTGTTTTCCAGTTACAAGGTTATCATGGCACTCCATTAAGGCAGACCTCTTCTCCTCTTCCGTCATAATAACCAGACGCATGTACTGCTGGCTTGGACCAGTGTAAAAGAGTCGGCCATCTCTCAGAAATGACAGAAATGAAAAGTATATGTTTAACCTTAATTGAACATTGAGGAATAGGATGATTTCTATAGTAACTTTAGACAGTTGGATTTTGAAAACTTAAAATATCTGTTTAGCTATCATACTTATGACTTTAAAATTCACAGAGACACGGCGAACTTCACGTCGTTCCCTCCTCTGTACATCGGGGCCAAATCCTCCCACTGAAAGATACTCGTTCACAGCTTGGAAAAATTCAAAATTTCTCATCTTTGGAGTTCTGAAAGCTGAAGAAAAAGATGGATATATTTGTTGATAACCTCAAAATTGTGCGACCGATCAATCAGGCTGGGCACACAACGGTTCTCCACTTGTCACACGCAGTTCCAGTGTTCTATAGTCCTGTCTAAGTGCGCACTACGATGAGTGATAGTTTATATCCAAAAAGCCATCAGCTTTCTAAATCAGGCAACCAGCTGATTCTCCTAAGACTTACTTGCAGTTATTTATTGGATAGTGGACCGTCAATATCTAACTTACAATATTTAGTATTCTGGACTGTAATTCTGACGTTGAATAATCGACTACTGTATACATATGATATGTAGCCTTACAAGCGCATACATTCTTACCCTTTTGTTTTTACTATTTATTTTTGTGTAAATGTCTTTTGATGTTATATTTGTATTTCCTAGAAACGGTACATAGCATCTCGTTATACTTGCAGAATAACAATAAAGGCTATATTATATTAATAAGGATTATTTCACAGTACCTCCAAAGTTTGATGAGCTGAACACTACACCGTAGCAAACACGAAACCGAAGTAACACGAAAGGAAACGTAACGCTCGAATTAATATAGCTGTGTGGTCACGTATGTTACCGTTCGTATTTAATGTTGTTTTTATTCGGCCGTTCGCACACTCGATGTAAATAGGAATGGGACGTTATAATATGATGTGAAATACTCAGATGAGTGCATTGTCGTAAAATGTTGCGTGGTCCACGCATGCGCGAAACCTAGTGCGTATGCGGACGCAGATCGGGCAGATGTCGCATATCTGACTGCGACATGCGTAAACATTTTACGGCAAGTTTTTTATTATTTATTTTTCAACATGTAGAAGAATATACAAAGCCTCGTAGACATCCGTAATACAAATGACAAAAGTTTTCCAGAAGATTGAGATAGATTTCCCCATTTGCTACAATGGATCTATTAATCTATATTAATACTATAATATTAATACTAAAAAATATTTAATCATGTCTGAAATGTAAGGAGTGAAATTATCCATGCAAAAATGCGGACGCAGATCGGGCAGATGTCGCATATCTGACTGCGACATGCGTAAACATTTTACAAATCAGCATACGTTTTATACCCTTCTTGCAAGTGACTTCCCTACATGAATTCGCCAGATGCTTCTTGTTAGCTCGTCTCTTTGTTCCTTGACAGCTTGGCTCTTATCTATCTTGCTACCTTCTGTACCTGATGAAATTCCCTGCAAGGGCCTCACCCACTCACATGTGTTTGTTCATATAGTATTCCATGTTCAATAAATGTGAAAAGGGGAATAAACATTTCAAAGGGATGAAAGTTCATTATGATAAATTAGAAAAATTATATGCCATTTTACATTAGTATTGATTATTACATCATAATTGATTTTGCTATTGCTACACCTACAGTACACATACACATTACATTTTAGATCTAAGCATAGTGAAGCAAGAGTTAATAGGGTGTGATACATATATGACCATAGTGAAACAAAAGCCAAAATGAATGTGATATATATGAGCAGAATGGAACAATAGTTAAAACCATATTCAGTCTCCCCCTTTCAGCCAGGAGAGCTAGAGAGCCAGGTCAGGTCATTTACCAACACACTAGGGGCAGTTTCGTTTATATCATAACTTGTGGCCCACTGTCAGGTACAAACGAGACACTGAGCACAATCGCAGCATGCTGTCATTCCCAATGAGGTTATAGGGGTTACAAGCTTCTTTACGTTTCACTTCTACAATGACTTCACTTTTAACATTCTCCTCTTCCTAGACCTAAGTGCAGCATTCAACACTGTAATTTATGAGGTACTCATTTCTTGCCTTTCTTCTATTAAGGACATAAGAAATGTACAAACGAGAGGAGGCCATTTGGCCCATCAAGCTCGCTTGGGGAGAACTTAACTAACAGCTCAGTTGTTAAAATCTTATCTAGCTCTGATTTAAAGGAACCCAGGGTTTTAGCTTCCGCTACACTAGCAGGAAGACTATTCCATACTCTAACCACACACTGTGTAAAGAAGTGTTTTCTCAAATTCAGTTTAAAATGTTCTCCTGCTAATTTCCACCTATGGCCACAAGTTCTAGTATTTAAACTAATATTGAAATAGCCATTTGGCTGAACAGCATCCAGACCCGTTAGAATCTTATAGACCTGGATCATGTCCCCCCTTAGTCTCCTTTGCTCAAGGCTGAACAGATTCAGCTCAGCTAACCTCTCCTCATAAGACATTCCTCTAAGACCACGAATCATTCTTGTAGTCCTACGTTGAACCTTTTCCAGGAAGCAATGTCCTTTTTAAGGTATGGTGACCAAACCTGCACACAATATTCTAGGTGGGGTCTTACCAAGGAATTATATAATTGTAGCATCACCTCCCTTGACTTAAACTCCACACACCTAGAGATGTAACTATTGTGATCACCGACATAGTCCTTCTATGTTTAAGGTCATATCTCACAAACAGACAGCAGATTGTCACCATCCACAATTTGTCTCAACGTTTAAACAAGTACAGATGGTGAAGACCCATACATTGTCTGCAAAGTTTGGAAAAGATCTGACACATAACTGATATCATGCTGAGATCCCATTGCCAGATGCTGCCCTTCTCTTTGCTATCACTTTGTGTTGCAATTTGTCTCAAAATGTGATCAAGTCCAGATCTTCACCCTACCATGTATCTGGAATTATTGAAAAAGATCTGTCAAATACTTTTTGAGTTGGCATGAGTTGTTGGAGTTGTTTATGTAGGCTAACAACACTTGCAAATGCCATAGGGCCTTTATAAGTAATGTGGTATACCTAAACAAAGAACTAAAAGTCGAACTTCAAGTAAAATCTGTGTTGCGACAATATAACACAAAAGTGACGTTTTTTTGCAGGATACTATATTTTATTTAGTACATTTGTTTCTATTACATCAATGTACACATCCTCTGGAGAACAACCTATATACACACAAGGCTCTGAGACAAAGTGCACATGCATACTGAAAAACAAACACGACGAGTTAAAAAACACCAACAAATCTAGTGCAATGCTGTTCACAGCAAAGTCAGTGTTTCTATCATTTCAAACTGGCAATAATAAGTTGGAATTAATACATTAAAACATTTGGTGATCTCCACATGAGGCATTTACTTTTCTTGTCTTTCGCTATATTGTCAAACTGTATATCTAGGTACTATTCTATTACACTACATCATATTTTAAGCATATGACAGTTATCCCATTGAAAGTGCATCCCTGCTTAATACCAATCCTTCCTGCCTGGCTGAAATACCCTTGTGTCCTTCTTTCCAAGCTCAGTCAATACAGTCTGTGACATGGATCTGCAGGGTATCCATATCTGGTGCCTGGTACTGGCATTTTGGGCAGCGGTAATCAGGCAGCTCTTCAGAGAGATTCTGCATTCGAAAGGAGGGGGGCTGGGCAGGGCTGAAGGGGATGGTGGCGCCGGGAAATCCTCCTGTGTGTGCAACAAAGCTGAATGTATTACTTACCAGGCCACAACTGACACACGTTTATAACAAAGCCACTATCTGAGGGTCTAGTTTGAGATTCTCAGTTATTGCCCTGCATGGAGAAGGTGTAAATGCCAATTTGGTTTTGAAATAAAAGTTGAACATGTGGAATGTTCATAGACTAAATGTAGACTGGCTCCAATGATCACCAAACGTTGTACTCCTGTTCTATCTAGATACTTGCTTTAAAGAAAAAAGGCAGTGATTTTATGATGACCCACCCTGTTCCGCCCTATTGCTTCTTTGCTTTTTCCACTGGGGGGAGTCAGTGCACAGGTGTGGGTGCTTCCTGGTGGTTACTGGGCTAACTGGCTCACAGCTACATGGGCATGTTGGGCTCAGGGTATCTTCATCTGGCCCTCTTCCCTTCACTTCCAGAAACCCAAAATTTTTGTTTTCTTTTCTGTTTGTACCTTAGGCTTGACACTGCAGTTAACTGACAAACATGTTTTCTTTCCCCTTGGACATTTATACTGATACGTGTTATTTCATAATTTAATAAATGCTTCTGAAATTCTTTTGCACGTATCGCTTGGAGACTAGAATGGTGTCTGTCATTACCGGACATGGGCGGGAGGAGAGTGTGGGCTGCCCGGTAATCCTCTATGTGTCTCTGCTGCATCTCCTCCATCCTAGCACTGGAAGAGATCACAGGGTTGGGCCATTTAAGGCAGAACCAGCATCACTGGATTTTAGAGGACAGTGAAAGTGTCTCACACCATTCTCCTCTGAATACTGAAACGGGGGGGGGGGGGGTAACCCTTACCGTGAGGTGCCTTCTAGCCGGAGCCTGTCCATTTCAGCCAGGGTGCGGTTCAGCTTGTCCTGAAGCTCTTCCTTTCGTTGGTGCAGCTTCTCCCGGGCTTCCCTCTCAGCCAGGAAATCTGCTTTGTAAATCTCTGCCTAGGGTAAAGACAGCAGAAAAAAACAAATTACTAAAACAATAAAGAACTAATATATGAGTTCCCAAACTTTTCACCCCATGACCCCCAGAGAATCACGACCTCCACTTCCCCCCTCTCATTTCTGTGATCGGGGTACATTTATTGCAATCGATTACAGTTACAACGTAAATCTTGATGAATATACTCTGGAAATCATCTTGCGTTCCACTGCCAGCGTCTTGCAACCCCCGGATTAATGTTCACATTTGTGTGTTACTCTATGCAAAGATGCACCCTTGCTCTGGATAGTGAACATACTGAAGAGGATTTGATGAGGTCTCAATATACAGTGATCCCCCGCAATATCGCGCTTCAGCTATCGCGCCCCCGCTATATCACGGATTTTTCCCTGACGCATCATAGTTCTCTGCGTATCGCGTACCTTGCTTGTGGTCCGATTGTTGTGAGCAAACTTTTTGTGAACTTTTCGTTTTGTTTTAAGCCCTACGATTTAAGGCTTAAACTATAAAAAAAAAAATAATGTTTATTTATATGGTCTTTCTATATCGCGGATTTTCACCTATCGCTGATAGGTCTGCAACGTAACTTACGCGATAGGCGGGGATCACTGTATTCTAATATTTTTTATACCATTTCTCACCCAGTATATTTTGGATTATCAATGTAACTTCTTAAAACAACATTCCAATATTGTCATTTTTACATAAACAGATAATTTTAGTTGCTTCTGGTTTACTTTCCCTATAAGTCATAGGTGATAAGTGATAGCCATACTACAAAACCAAACATGTAAGCACATGTTCTACTACTCATGAAGATGATTACAAATACTGTGTTTGGATAACGCATCCCATCAAGAATGGACCCTAGCCATGTGCCCAATGGCGGCCAGTAGAGGCTTCAGGAACCCCATGACTCTGGCGAGGATAAGCGATTAGAAGATCAGGTGGATGTTTGGAGAAGATTACTAATACAGAAAATGTGACGCCTAACATATGACATTAAACTTCTGTTTAAGTTTGTCATGAACCTATAATGTTCTGAAAATAATTGTTCCATTGCTGGTCAGTGCAGACAATCTCATGAGTGGCGTTTGGTATGGTACCTGTGCAGTGAGAACAGGTACGGTCTCCAGTGTCCCTTTCTGCTGCTCCACCTCCTCTTTCAGTTTGTCAATGAGGTCCTGCTTCAAAGCCAGAGCCTGCTCTGCTTCCACCAGCCTTCTGGCCAAGTCTTCAACTTCACCATCCTGACACACAAGCAGAAATACTTCCAGTGACACATGTAGGAGATCCCAGCATGCACACTGTGCTTAAGGGTGTCACCTAGGAATCAACAGTGCATAGATGAGCAGCAAAGCACACCCTCTGTTTGGCCTGGCTCTCGTTCTTAAGCTTGGAGTCATAGTCTTGGTACAGCTGAGTGTAGGCATGTTGGAGTTGGGCCAGCTTTCTCCTGCAAGATAAAGGTAAGGGGACGACATCATACCTTCAGAAATGTAGCGTGAAATAACAACCTGAATCTGAACGATTTCAAATCCACAGCATGTGTCCGATTCGATATAAATAATATCAGTATGTTTAGGTTTATCCTCATGCAGACCCAGAACTAAGAATGTTTCATGCTAACGACACTTTGTGTCCTTAGTTTATGATTTAGAAGTGCATAGCTAAGGAGACCACAGAATATCCTAAAGAACCATGGGTTATGTGTATTAAAGTGCTTCAGGTTTTAGAATGGCTAAGGAAAGATTGTGGGTTTGAGTCTAAGATGTTCCCTGATATAGTGCATATGATAGTTACAATGTGAAAAACCAGCAAAACTATTACTTACTATTAATACTACTTTCAAATTAAAAAAATATTGTCTTAGGCAAGTATGGGGGCTAAGGACCACTCACTTGTCCTCGGTGAGAACCTGTCTCTCCGTCTTCAGCGCCATCTCCAGATTCTGTGTCTGCAGCCGAAGTGTGTCTACTGTCACGCTGTGCTGGCTCTTCATCTGCTTTGATTCTTGCTCCATATTCTGCAGGGCCTCCTGAACCCGGTTCAGCCTGGAGCACAAATGACAGGGGCCCAGGGTTCTGACGTGCAGCGGGACCGGCACAAACACCATGTACAGGCACCGGATCACAGGCGGAAAGGCGGACATACTTCTCTTCCAGCCGTGCCCTCTCTTCCTCGCTCTTCTCCAGGCAGCTCTGCTTCTCACGGAGCTCTCCCAGCAGCGAGGTCACCTGGGCCTTCAGCATGTCACAGTCCTTGGTCAACTGCAGCAGACAATAAAATTATGACCGAAGCATCTCTAACATCACACTGCCAGCTGTGGCCCACAAAGGAAGGTCCGATTCAGTCATTCCTGCAGCAGTGATGTTATGTGACGTAAAGATTAGAAAAGATGCTGTGGGAACGACCAGGGGCGCCGTCTGGAAGGGGAAAGTTAGGACGACTCCAAGGGCCCCTGAGTGACAGGGGGCCTAGAAAATTTGGAAAATAACTTGATTGGTCTGGACTGGGGGCCTCAATATGACATGCCTTATTGGCGCTCAAAAACTTGTTTAGATTAGCCTATAGGGACTCTAGTTCTAGCTCTAGCTAATTGCACACTCTCAGTTAGACCTATAGTGTGAGGTGTAGAGCTGGGTGGGGATCGGTGCCATTGGCTTTGGATGAACTGAACTGTTAGTGTTGACGTTTCAGGGACTCCCCATGCCTGCGTTCCCACCTGCCTCTCCCTCCTACTTATGCCTAATCTGCCAGAGCTTAAATATTGCACTCATCTAACTGTTTGCACTGTCTCTAGTCTCCCCTACTTGTGCTTATGCACTTTTTATCCCCTTTAGTTCTCCTGGGGCTGTGCTGCCTAGAGACTCAAAAAAATCAGGATATCGTGCCGACCCTCCTGCCTGTGACGTCTCTCCTGCACGCCCTCCTGCCTGTGACGTCTCTCCTGCACGCCCTCCTGCCTGTGACGTCTCTCCTGCACGCCCTCCTGCCTGTGACGTCTCTCCTGTA